GGAGGAACAGCAAGCGTTTGGGGAACACAGCTGGGGAGGTATCCCTGCCAGCAGCTAGAAAAGAAGATTATGGGTGACACCCCAGTAATTGTCAAAGCCAAATAAAACAATCATTTGTAAGCTCATTCATTTGTAAGCTAGTGAAGGTTAAAGTTCCGTTGGTTCAACTACAACTCCATGCGTATGTATCAGCTCTCCGTCCAGTGCTCCCTTGCTCTCTGCCTTGATCAGCCACTCGTCTGTTTGGCACCCATGGACTTGCTGCTCTTAGACATTTCCTTAGTGTGGACTCATCAATATAGTCTTTAGTCACCGTTTTCTTCCCCTTAGACATGTTTTCCAGGTTCATCCACTTTGAAGCATGCGTCATGGAGGGCTCCTTTTTGTCGTTAAATACTGTTTCCTTGTGTGGCCTAGGCCTCTCCACTGGTTATTTGATGGATTTTGAGTGAATGGACTCTTTTATACATGTAGACATCTGCTTGATGGTTTCCGATGTATTTAGAGGAGAGACCCTAAGTTATTCAGGACTCCTAATTTGTTAAGCAAGTCAAATACCCATTTGCTATGGACTTGAGCCATTCTGATGGTTCTGTGGCCAGTAGGAACAGCAAGTGTTTGGGGAACACAGCTGGGGAGGTATTTTTTTTTAAATTACAGGTATTTTTCCCTTCAATTCTTCAGAAGCAAAGTTGTCAAATAAATAATAGATTTTTTATTTTTATTTTTTTTTAGAAAATAGGCAAAAGCTTGGAGTTACATAAAGGGCATATTGTATCCATTCATGAACTATACACGTACGTAAGTAGGAAATATTCATATAAACCAACTCTTAACATTTTTGTTGTAGCTAATGTCTTTGGAAGCAATGTGCAGATGTATTTTGCCTTACTAAATACATTAGTCATGATAATAATGGTAAAAATGAATGCTCATAAAACACTTGCTGTATGCCTGGCATTATCCCCAATGATTTTACATGTATTAGCACATAATACTCAAAACTAAAACCAGTTACATAATTTACATGGCTCAGAGCAAAATGAAAATTCAAGGCCTGCTGTTTACAGATCAGACAGAAGGTGCCATTAGCAGTAGGCACTACAGCAGAAAGCTTCCCCCTTTTTCCTGATACTGTGTGTGTGTGCTATTTAAAATTTTAAATAAAAATAAATAAATATTAGCGTGCATCTTAGCATTTATTTTTACATCATGCAGTGTTCATTTAGATGCAAATATAAGCCCTTCATTCATATGCAAACTCACCAAACTTACAATTTGTATTTCATAGCTCATATGTGCCTGTGCATTTTGGTGCTTGCTGGAACAGTGGAAAATGCACCAAACTTAATTGTTTCTATCTTCACCTTTTCAGGGTACTAAGCGAGGATTGTCTCACTGAGCTGCCCTTCCAACCCATGCTGCATTTCTTTAGGGTGCTGGATCACTGGGGGACAGGAAGAATGGAAAGACAAAGAACAGCAAAGGTTCACTCTTCCTCTCTCCTTCTGTGTTGTCAGATTTTCAACCAAAGTGGTTGATTACTCTGGGATGTAATATTGCTTGAAAAAATTATATGTATGTACACGTCTGTGCGTGGGCTTGTGTGAGTGCAGGTGTCAGAGGAAGCCAGAGGTGTGAGCTCCCCCAGGAGCTGGAGCTACAGATGGCTGTGGGCTGCCTGATGTGAGTGCTTAGGACCAGACTATTGTCCACTGCAAGAGCTATATGACGCCTTAACCACTGACCCACCCTCCCATTCTCTAGGAAGCAACTTCAACTTCCCGTCCTCTCAAAAACCCCGTCAGATCTTTAATAATTGTTTTCAAATGCATGGATGCCTTCCATGTACCGATTGCCAAGTTTTTAGTTTTTTTTTTTTTCTTTCTTCTCGTTTGACTTTGTTCTTTCATTTATGTCCTCAGCTCTGTTTATAGAAATGTTTGTCAAATGCTGAGCAATTCTGGCATTTGCAGTTTGTTGCCAAGTATGAAATTACTCCTTTCAGTTTCGCTGATAATCTTGTACAAAAGTGCCCAGAAGTTCTTGGAAGGGCCTGGAGGAGGGAACTGGGGGGAGAGCTTGCCAAGGTGACAAGATGAGAAAGCCCTGGGGCAGTACATGCTCACATGTGAATACAATTGGCTAGAAATCATTGACGGTGCACTTGAAGTCGCCTAAGAGAACAGATCTTAGCAGTTCTCACCACACACATAGAGACTAGGGGCTGGAGAGATGGCTCGGGATTAAGCACACTGGCTCCTCTTCAGAAGAGCTGGGTCAGCGCACAAGTGGCTCAAACTCTAGTTCCAGGGGATATGTCGTCCTCTTCTGGCCTTTTTGGGTACTGCATGCACATGATGCATGGATGTACATATAGGGAAAACACCTATATACATAAAACAGACATTAAAAGAACATGGAAGTAGTAATTAGACTGATAAATTCACAGTGTATATGCACCAAATCCCATACATGTTCAATATACACATTTTGTCAATTGTCTCAGTACAGCTGTCCTTAGACAAGTGACCAAGCAGTGCGTTCCTTGGCAGTTCTGTAATGTTAATGAACAAATTGTTTTGAAAGATAGATTGGAACTTGGTTACTAATGATTTTAATGAATCAAATAGAGATATTTGTAATAACTACCTATTTGGGCTTAATTTATAAAAATTGGAACTTTTAAAATTCTCTTTCTTAGATGAAGGAATGGCAGAAAGCAAACAAATGTACCTGATTTGAAATCAGAATCTTCTCATTCCAAGCATATATCTCCCCAAACTACTCCTTAGCTCTGCCTGATTTTTCTCCAGGATTATTGTGTGTGTGTGTGTGTGTGTGTGTGTGTGTGTCTGTGTGTGTGTTTGGGAATGAGTGTGTGTGAGTATGTGCTCATATGTGTGTGTTTGTGTGTAATGTTCATGTTTGTGGGTGTGTGTATTCGTGAGTTTGTGTGTGTGAGTGTATTTTTTGTGTGTTTGTGTGTGTGTGTGTGTGTTTGAGTGTGTGTCTATGTGTGTTTGTGTGTGTGTCTATCTGTGTGTGTATGTTGTGGCCCAGGCTGAACTCATGCTTGCTACATAGTCAAAGATGACCTGGAACGTATGCTCCTCCTGCCTCTCTTCCCAGATGCTGGAATCACAGATGTCCTGTTCTATGAGTCCCTGGGATTGATCTCTGCATGCTAGGAAAGCACTCACAAACACGCTCCCAGGTCTCATATGTTTTATTTTATCTTTTATTTTACAGATTTATTTGTTTATTGTCTGTTTCCCTGACACATTAGTTATTTTTCCTGTTGCTGTGATCAAACCTCTACCAAGAAGCAACTTAAGGGAAAAAGGATTTGCTTTATGGTAGGGAAGATACAGAGACAGGAGCGTGAAGTGGATGATCACACTGCATTCACAGCCAAGAGGCAGAGAGAAGTGAATACTGGGACTCAACTTCTAGTCTCCTCTATATTTAGTCTGTGACCCTAGCCCAAGGCACAGTGCTATCCTCATTCAATGTAGCTCTTCCTTATTCTTTAACCTTTCTGGAAACCCCTTCAAGACATGCCTAGATGTGTGTTTCAAAAGCCCATTCAAATTAACAGCCAATTAATACATTCTGGATAGTAGCAGGGTGTGGTGGTTTGAATATGCTTGGCCCAAAGAACAGCATTATTAGGAGATGTCCTTTTGGAGTAGGTGTGGCCTTGTTGGAGGAAGTGTGTCAGTTTGAGGGTGAGCTTTGACACTCTTCTAGCTGCCTGGAAGCCAGTCTTCTCCTAGCAGCTTTTAAAACAAGATGTGGAACTCTCAGCTCCTCCAGCACCATGCCTGCCTGGTTGCTGCCATGCTTCCCACCATGACGATAATGGACTGAACCTCAGAACCTTTAAGGCAGCCCCAGTTAAATGTTGTCCTTAATAAGAGTTGCCTTGGTCACGGTGTCTCTTCACAGCAATGGAAATACTAAGATACAGGGCTACACCATTTGTGAACATATTCTGTACACAGACAATGTTTAATAAATGGTAGGTACTTAATATTCTTAGTTAGAGCATCAAAAATCTGAAATTCCAATCACTGAGGAACTGGGAGAATCACTTTCCAGAGTTCTGATTTGGACATTAAACAATTATAATGAAGGTAAATTATTGAACAAATCATTTGATGTTAAGCATAGGGGGCACTGGAAGTAATTTTAATATGGTTAATTTATACCTTGATGAATTTCAAATGTAATCAACAGTTAGCACAAACTCATTCATTCTGAAAACGCATGATAAAATCGAGTAGAATCTGAAGGTGAGAGTGGCTGTCGGCATCTTCTCTCCCAGTGTTTCCCAGCGACCTTTGGCTGATCTTATTTTAACCTCCTGTACCTGCTACTTCCCTTTGTGGTTAGAGCTTATGGTTTTAGGCTCCCATGAGGACAGAAAATTAAGAGTTTTGACCCCATGTGTAATCTCTATACTGTCTGTATTATTGAAGAATTTGACTCTGAAAGGGGAGAAAGAAAACCTAAATAAAACCTTTCCACAGCAATAACTGCTTACTGCACATTTCAAATCCACAGGGAGAAAACTCACTCTTGCCTTACACCTTTGCTGACGTTTTTTAAAAACTTGAATTAGGAATTTAAATAAGAGAGGAAAGCCTGAATGTCACTAGTAAAAGTACTCTAATAGTTTGAACACAGAACTGTTGTCTGTAACCAGATCTTGAATTGAAAGAGTTCCTAGGGATAAACATATTTGGCCTTTTTTAAAAAATTTGATATTTTATTTATTTCCATTTCAGATGTTATCCCCTTTCCCCATCCCCCCTCATTAATCCCCTATCCCATCCTTCCTCCTCCTTTTATGCTTTTATATCATCTAAATTACATACATGTAAGTATTCCGGTCAGTTCTAGGTTGAGGAACTGGCAATACAATAGATGCAAATAGTCAAGGAACAAGCAAGACAATAAACCCAGATAGTCAAAGAACACGCAGGACAATAAACAAAAATATGGAAGGGTTGACGAATTTGTGTGTCATCCTTGCGCAGAGGCCACGCTAATCTTCTCTGTATTCCAATTTTAGTACATGTGCTGCTGAAGCGAGCACCATACTTGGCTTTTACGGACCAGTAGTCTTCACTGTTGATGAGAGGGGAGGGTTCAGATCCCAGCGTCTCTACTCACCTCACAACAGCAGTAACAACTTCCTGCTCATTTTGAGTCTGTAGGGAGGATGCTCACTCTCAGCTGGCTTTCTACAAGCCCTTGGAATGGTGCCCCCATCATTTAGGCCAGATCTTTCCACTTCATTAACCTAATCTGGAAACTCCCTCCCAGAAAAAAACAAAACAAAAAAACAAACAAACAAACAAACAAACAAAAAACAAAAACAGGGCTTTGTTTCCATGGTGATACTAAATTTCATCAAGGTGACAACCAAGTTTAAACACCTCAGCATGTAAAGGGGACAGACATTTTAACCTGTGGCAGAATTTTTCCATCAAAGAGTAAAGCGGCTCCAGTGGAGGCAATAGTAAGTGTTCTTGAGCAGCGAGCTGTTATCTCCCTGCTTACTCTCATCACCTCAATTTTGTCCACTGTTTTTACCTTTATAACTGCCCAAAACTACCCATGGAGTTCTCTCCTGTCTGCTTCTGTCTGAGTCCAGTGATGGTTCCAGACTCTAGGAGAATATCAAATCTCAGGTCTTCACTAAAGCAATTCCTTTTTTTAACGTTCCATTGGGGTGCCTCTGGACAGTACAATGCAGTTCTGGCGTGAGTTCCATGTTGAAAACTTATGGATAAATGGCCACAGCCTTTGTAGGTAGAGGTAAATGTTGAAAAAAATCATTTGCAGGAAGCAGGTTTTAGCTATGATGTAACATTCGTTGTTATTATTATTACAGTTACTTTGGTGCAGAGGAATCATAGTTTGTGAAAAACTATTTGATTTTCAAATGTGCCAAAGAACTAATTTTCAGTTTTATTACTTTGGGATTATTATTGATTTTGCTAGCTTATTTAATCAATCTCAGAATACATTATGCAAATGTAGATAGACCTTTCTATGAATCAGTTCATTTTTGTTGATAATAATTTATTTGATCAAGTAAGTAATATAAGATACACTGTTTAAAAAAAATGTGCCCATGGAAAAATATTTGAAGACTTGAACACAATTGTACATTTATGTTGAGTTATAAACTTGACCTTGGGTGCATATGTTGTCATGTGGTTGTATAATCCACAACTTCCCATCCATGAATAACCAAGGATACACAAGAAATTTCACATTTAAACTGTTTTAAAATTATTTATTACTGAGATATAATCCAGTTTTTGCAATAAAATGGCATTATTGACAAATATGTGTAAAGACGTGTAGATAGCAACTGTGACAAATTCAAGGCCTGGTCTGTGGATTGAGTTCCAGTCTCAAAAATCCTGATCAGTCAGTCAATCAACCTATAAGATTTACATGTATTGACACTAAAGTTACACAGCTATTTTGCTGTTGTCTAGGCTCTTATAAGTAACACACACACACACACAAACACACACACACTAGTCCCTAAAGGTCCATGTGCCAGAGGCAGTGTCCCTGTCCACAACACTGTTGAAATTTGCTAGATCTTTTATGAAGTAGAGCGTGGTGAAAGAAAGGGAAGTGTTGAGGTTTGGTCTTTTGCTATGCACTGTAATGATAAATACTAGCCCTACGGAGGTCTGCTTATTCTGAGGAAGAGAGAATCCCGACAATGTGACCTTGCTCCTTAATTTAAAACTATTGGTTAAATAAAGGTGTTGACAGCCAATAGTTGGGCAGAAGAGACATAGGCGGGATTTGGGGTTTCTAGGGGTTTGGGGCATGAAGAGACCGTCAGGAGAGAGAAGGTGGAGAGAGAGGAGAAAGCTGCCATGGAGTAGGTAAGTCATAAAAATATGGCCATGAAGACTGGCCAATTAGAATTGAAAGCTGCCCAGATGGAACATGGCAAATTATAAAATGGGGTTAATGACGGGGAAATAGAGTCTAATAGCATAGAGGGTGGGTATCCGCCCAGCTCTAGTGCTGACTTAGGCTTACCATAAATATAAAGGTTTGTATGTTTTTTATTCAGGAACTGATTACTCAAAGGTGAGGTAGAAGCCCCAATTGAGATAAAATATTTCTATAACAGGTAAGGGGAAACTTAGACCCTCTCTTCTCACTTCTCTCTCTTTCCATCTCAACTACCATAGAATGAACAGGCTCCTTCCACCCTATATTCCCTTCATGATTTATTGTCTGCTGAAGGCTTTAAAGAGGTGATACCCACTGGTAATGGGTTGAGATATCCCAAACTGTGAGCCAAAGCAAACCATCCCTGTTGTAAACTTAGGAATTTGTTACAGCAACAGAAATATGATTAATGCAATAAGATAAATGGTAAACAAAGATAAATACCCATACTTTCAGCTACTGATCTATTCCCTAATCCTTAAGCTTGAGCCATAGGACAGAAGATGTTTATTGTGTTGCTTCTCCTGGGGAGATGTAAAGAGATGTTTATTTTCCCCCAGATAGAGCAATGACTGACCTAAGAAATGATTCTGTCTATCTGTCTGTCTGTCTGTCCCCCCCCCTCTCTCTGTGTGTGTGTGTGTCTGTGTGTTACTTATAAGAGCCTGGACAACACAAAAATAGCTATGTAACTTATTGTTTCACCACAGCACGGGGTCTGACTCACAAAGTCTGTTGGGGTCAGACCTTTTGCTAACCTTCCACCCCTGGTACAGGATGGTGTGCATGGCTGGAATCTCAAATAACCCCCTCTTCTCTCCTTATAGTAGGAAGGGCATGTTAACAGTGTCATTACAAAGACCTTTCTAGGCACTGTTGTGTGAATCTTTCTGGAATAAGCACTCCCTCGCCATTGAGAGTGCAAGAAAAGAAACATCCCCAGTGGACTGAAGCCCGGAAACTCCTGAGAAGCTTCCCTCCAAGGTCCAGTTTGCATTCTCATTTTATGCTCTAAAACCACAAGGTGGGGTGGGCACATAAGCAAGATTTTACAGAGTACACATAGCAGTCAGCAGGTTGTTAAGGGAACGACCTGTTGTCTCAGCTATTTCTCCAGGTTACTCTGTTCTAGGGGGCAAGTGAAGTCATGCTTGGCAAATAGGCAGAATAAGTAGTATTTTAATCCAATCAATCAATAAATGTTCTTTACCTTATCCCACTTCAACATCACAGTACCATCACATTGTTGTGACTATGAGCCTATCATATTCTGCAGGTCACACAGCAATCTCTGCTTCACGAGGGTGATGCTCACAGACAAAGGCAGATGTCTTGGACTGGGGTTGTAGCTTGGTTACTAGGGTCCTTACCGAGCATATATTAAGTCTGGAGTTCAATCCTGAGCACTGAGTAAGCTGAATATGGTGACAGAATGCCAGGAACCCCAATAGTTGAGGCAAGAGGATGTAAATTTCCGGGTTATTTTTGGCTACAGAGTAAGCTTGAAACTTGTCCATTTGGGATACAGGAGACCCTAAATCAATAGACAAACAAACAAACAAAATAAATGCAGACTTCTTGAGGCAGATGGGACTAGACTTAGTGGTCTTGCTAGACAACGCAGACGCCAGATAGTTCCATTTCCACGAAAGCACAGCAGGGTGTCTTGGCATTTCCTGGTCCAATAGTTTTGCAGCAGATCCAGCTGGGTCAGGTTTCTGGGCCACACAGCACTCCACCTGCTCCCACCTGTCCAGCACCCACATGTACTCTTTTCCATCAAAGACTAGGATTCAGGATCAAATCTAACTTCCTTTGGCTTAATCGGTCTATCTCAAATACAGAGACAAATCTGATAAACAAGAACATTCATTTGCTTTAATCCTGTTAAACAACCAAAATATGGCCTTTGGAACCATGGCAAACAAAACTGCATGCTAATGTATAACAGGTAGAAAAGCCCAGAGAAGTGAAAAAAATATCTAAATCAAAGTCTGATACCTAGCTTTACTTTTTCAAAAGTCCAAGCTTGGTGTTAAATAATTGTAACTGGAATTTTCTATGATCTATCTTGAGGCCTGGGCTTAGTTCTAACCAGCTAGGCTCAGCTTCCATCTGTATAAGCCATGCAAAGAGAGAAACTCCTGGGGAAAGAACAAGGACATTTATTCAATGTAGTCACAATGGGAAGAGGGACAAAGAGGTCCTTGTGATCATAGTTCAATCTTTGCAGTATTGACATATGCTTGAATAGAGGAAGAGCTGAGGGAGGGAGGGAGGTCTACATAATTAACTATTTCAGTTAAAGTGTGATCTGATGGTTATTGCCTCTGTTCTGATCTGGCTAGGTGCTCCAAAGGGTCAGCACGGCTGTCATCACTTAGCTAGGACATCAGGAACATCAGCTCCCTCGTATCCAGAAGCAGACATTTCAAGAATACTTTTGCACAAGACAGTGGAAACAAAATGTTTGTCTGGGAGGAAGCCTGACTAGCTCGGAGGTTTAGAATGGAGTAACAATTGCTCAGTATTTGGCTCAAGGCAAATTTAATTTAAAAAAATAAAAAAGAAAACAAAACTTTAAATGTCTCTTATCATTCACGTTGCCTGGTCCTTTCCTCTTACCTTTCCTTGATATTCAGCATCTTTGATCTTCCCAGAGCCTGGCCACCAGTCCCTCTTAACATGTTCTTCTCTTGCCTCCTAGTTTCTTCCTACATAAGCTGTTATTTCACTAGAAACAAAATGTAAATGTCAGGCTGATAGGTATAGTTTAAAAGGTTGAAAAGCCAGCAAGCTGGGAAAAGACCTGGGATCAATGCTTTCATTTCTTGTTCTTAAAATGCAATCAAGTCTGAGACCTGCCATGGAGAATACTCACAGTCTGAATATTTCTAGATAGAGTTGGTTTAGTCCATACAATCAGGATCCTGCTAAGAATTTCTCCCCCTTGGGATGTTGATGATCCTGAGACATTTTTGGTTTTAGTAATTAAGGCTTCCCACTCATTGGACATCTAACTCCCTTCCTGGATTTCTATGAAGCCCTTTAAATATTACATGTTGGATGTGGGCATCACGATACCTGGGCCATGATGGTAAG